AGCCGCTGCCTCTCGGGTCCAATTTTCATCTTTTCTTCGTTTCGTAGCTCCTAGGCGCCATCTTTCTGCCCCAATTTCGTGTTTTTGGCCTCTTCGTCTACTTTAATACTTCTTTTCTCATTGCTTCTCCTTATCTTCAAAACAACACTAACAAACACATCAAAAACGTTCTACACTCATAAAATCTAGTATTTAATCAAGCTAAAAATGTGCGAAAACCATGAGTGAAACAAACTCATCAAGACCCGAGCCCCATTTTGGGGATACGGGCTTTGCTCGAGCCGGCCCGGGAGCCTTTATTTTTTTAAAAAAAACTTGTAAGTGGCAGTAAAATGCTGCCTTTTAAGGCAGTGAACACTGCCTTACAGTCTATTAAGTGATGCAGAAGCTTGATTAGTGGAAATGGAGTGCTAACTTTCAGAAGACCTCAAGCTACAACAAGGCAATGTGGAACTTGGAAGCTAAATGTAAAATCAGGAAGCCACAAACATGAGAGAGATGGACAAGAACTCGAATGAGAGAGCTTTTTATTTCTCAAAATTGTACTACCCTCACATTGAAATTAGAAATGAAAATGTTCGAGTTTAAATTTCATTACCACTTGCATTTTTTAGTGGACGAAATTTGACTTTGTCATTATAAATCTTGTGGACAAGGTAAATTAAACTATAGAAAAATTAGTGGTAAAACCTAGGACTAATTTACAAGTGTATGCTCAATGAAATTTAACTCTCGTTTTAAATTGGAAAATGTGTAAAGAAGATCTGCAAGTTGTGGCCTTTAAAGGCAGTAGCTTAATATAGGAAAAAAAAAGATTCGTAGAAAAATGGGCCTGAAATTTTTGGCTTGACCATTTTAATCGAGCTGAGCTAGAGCATCAAGTTTCGACTCGCGAATTGGCTCAACTCGACTCTTTGACATCTCCAAAGTAGAGTCCATATGAATAAAATAAGCCAAAAAATCCAACCCCCTCTACCGTGAGGGGTCTATCCTTCATGGCAACATAGCAAGGTTGCAACAAATATGATCAGTTGTGATCCTTGTAAATTTGACTTCTACACTTAGCATAAGCCCCCCAATAATTTTGATTATAATGTGGTGTATAGTGTTTTTACTTTTTGAAAAAAAAAATTAATGGTTATAAAAGAAAGAAAAGCTTTTTATCTACGTGTAATATTATTTTATCCTTATTTGTTTCCGATTCTTTAGCCACAAAATGAAAAATATGACCGTTATCCACACATCAAGCCATAACATTTGACTTTCTATATCTTGTGTGGATCTCGTAACAATTATATTGTTCTTTTTCATTTTTACAAAAATAGATACTGATGATCTCAGATCTTGTCAATCTCGAACTCGTCCATGAACCCCAACCATTTGTCATGAACCCCGAGCTCAATGTTCCCTAAAACCACCAAAACAAGGTCGGGCATTTGAGGTCGGGGTATGTATGTCGACTCGTCAGCCTTTCTATACGACCTATGGGAACACTAATCCTACTTTGACCACAATCCCTACCCTGTTAGACTCCTTCTTTGACTCAAACAATGATTTGAATACTTGATGTAAAACGCTAACTCCTTTTCCTACGAGGATAAGGACCGCGAAAGATAATACCTATAAATACACAACCTGTGCTCATTCTTGAGGTACGTTTTTCATTATCTCCAGTTTTACGCACTAAATTTCCTATCTGACTTAAGCATCAGAAGGTCGACGAGCACAGACCTCGTTGCCTTTGTTGCAGGTATTCAAAGACCGTTCGTGTTCATCAAAGTCTGAAGTTCGATCATCAAGTTCGAGATCTTTCAGGTAATATTTTTTGGTAGCATCATTGGCACCGTCTGTGGGAAATCGTTACCAAAAGCCATGGTCAATACACGTTCAGGTCTTCTCCAGCAGGCTCATCTGTCCCGGATAACCCTCCTCATCCTGAAGAATGCCATATCCCTCAAGAAAAGTCATCGGAGATGCCAACACCTCCTCAAGCTGTTGTTTTCGTCAGAGCTTTTGAGGAACTTCGTCAGCAGGTAGCTGCATTAACCTTATTGTTAAGCCAGAGAAATTCGCACTCGTCGCATACCACAACCCCTGAAGGTGGCTTTATGGCAGATGCCCGGGCTCAAGTCCGTCATGCAGCCCATGATGAAGGTGGGTTGGAACTTCAGGCACACCACAAGTGGCTTCAGGTTCAAGGTCCGTTACAATGGACTCCGCTGGACTTGCTAGAATTATTCAAGAAGGGATAGCAGCAGGTATGCAACAAAATACTCGGGCAGCAATAAGGTTCACCCCCAATACACCATTCACTCCAGAAGTCCTCTCACATCCCCTTCCCGATAGGTTCAAGTATCCTCGGATAAAGAAGTATGATGGGACAACCAACCCCATCAATCATCTCAATGTGTACACGAATATCATGAACTTACAGGTTGCAACTAATGCAGTAATGTGTAAGGCATTTCCCCAAACCCTCACAAAGATTAGTTTTCCAAATTGGAACCAAACTCTATCGCCTTCTTCTCAGATTTGACCGATAAGTTCTTTGCTTTCTTTGCAAGTAGCAAGTGAATCAGGAAGACAGTCGCATCATTCAGGCAGATTCGTCAAGGACCCAATGAAACACTGCGCAGTTTCATGACCAGGTTCAATAAAGAAAGGCTTCATATCCCCGATCTACATATCACAGCTGCAATCTCAGCTCTGACATACGCCATTAAGTGCGAAACATTCAAGATGTCCTTGTCTAAGACCCCTTAGAAGTCAGTCACCGACCTAATCACACGAGCCGAGAAGTACATCAATATGGAAGAAACCATGGCCCCAAAAAGGGAAGTTTCCTCATCAGGAAGGTTGGATCAGAAAAGGCCGCATGAGTCCAGCTTGAGACAAGATACACCTAGGGTCAAACCAAGGAAGGATCCACCTTCAACGTCGTTTACCCATTTGAACGCTTCAAGGTCCAACATCCTGATGGAAATCAAGGACTCGAGGGAACTGAAGTGGCCTCCCTGATTGTGGTCTCTCCCCGATACTCGTGACAAAAGTAAATACTGCGATTTTCATAGAGATCATGAGCATACAACGGAAGACTATCTGGCCTTAAAGCGGGAAATCGAAGCTCTTATAAAAAGGGGACTTCTGAGCTCTTACATTAGCAATAACAAGCGCCCGAGGAATAATTAGAATGGAGGCAAAGGCCCAGAAGGTCGGGGAACAAGCAACCAACTGCAGGTACTATCAATATCATTATCAGAGGAATAGCCTCGAGAGGAGATTCTAGCAGCGGGCGTAAACAGTATGCTAGGCAGCCTCTAATCATCTCAAGACCAGATTTTGGTTGTACGGAGGACATCACTTTTGGAACGGATGACTTGGAAGGCATAGCATTCCCTCATGATGATGCCCTTGTCATATCGGCCATCATTGCCAACTTTGAAGTCAAGAAAATTCTGGTAGATAATGGAAGTGCAGCAAACATACTGTCTCATGAAGCCTTTGTTCAAATGGAGACCTCATCAGAGCAACTCAAGCCAATTAAAACACCTCTCCAAGGATTTGGAGGTGGGGTCATCACCCCGGAAGGTATCGTTGGGTTACCCTTAACATTGGGGGTCGAAGGTAAACGGGTGATGCAAATCACTACCTTTGAAGTTTTCCGTACGCCAATGGCTTACAACGCCATATTGGGAAGACCACTGCTCAACAAAATTCGAGCTATTGTCTCAACTTTCCACCTGGCTATGAAATTTCCTACTTCTAATGGAATTAGGGTAGTCCGAGGCAACCAAACAGTGGCCCGACAGTGTTATGTGACTAGCGTTCGAAAAATCAAAAATATCAAACAAGTTATAGAGCTTAAGCTCGAGCACAAAAATCACAGGAGACAGGCTCCGATGGAAGGATTGGAAGAGGTCGAGATCGAGCCTGGAAGAAAAGTGACAATTGGTCGGTGGTTAGATACAGCGATCATGTCTGAACTTCTAAGTTGTCTCTCCCGCAATATTGATGTATTCGCTTGGAATGTTGAGGACATGCCTGGAATTGATCCAGAGATTGCAGTACATAGATTTAACGTAAGCCCAGAAGCAAGACTTGTGAAGCAAAGGAAGAGGCAGTTTGCACTAGAAAGATGAGAAGTCATAAAAGAGGAGATTTCCAAACTTGTTAACGCACAGTTCATTCGAGAAGTAAAATATCCCGAATGGCTTGCCAACGTGGTTCTTGTCAAGAAAGCTAATGGAAAGTGGTGATTTTGCATTGACTTCACAGATCTGAATAAAGCATACCCTAAAGACAATTATCCCTTACCTCGAATTGACAATCTGGTAGATAGCATGTCAGGTCATATGTTATACAGCTTCTTAGATGCTTTCTCGGGGTATCACCAAATTCTCATGGCAGAAGAAGTTCAAGAGAAGACCTTATTCATGGCAGATTCAGCCATCTATTGCTACGGGGTCATGTTCTTTGGACTGAAGAATGCTGGAGCAACATATCAAAGGTTGGTGAACAAGATCTTCGCCAAGCTAATTGGGAAAACGGTTGAAGCATATGTGGATGATATGGTGGTTAAGAGCAAACAGCTGAATAGTCATGTTTCTGATCTAGAGGAAGTGTTTGC